GTCAGTATAAAGTAATAACATCTTACATACATTCAACGATTAAGAGTGCAAGGATTGCCTGTAACCTCTGTATGATTTATGACATAACTGTTAAAAGAAAGAAAGGTTATGATATGTTATACATGTGACATAAATGAATATTGAAATATAAAAAACATAAAAACTGGTGAAGTAATAGCTTTAAATGTGGTTTCTCTTTATAGAGCAATTCAATTTGTACTATAGTTTTACTGGGCTAAACTTTATTTTAATGTGATTAAAATAATCCATTATTTACTTACTTATTTACATTACAATAATATTAATGCAATCTATTTGTAAGCTTGAGGTGATTCACTGATTAAGAAAAACTAAATATATTCTTAAACAACTATCGATTTCTCAGGGAATCTTCGGGCAATAAATCAGACTGTACAATAGCATTGTCTGTCGTTCAGTTTGATTAAATAAATAAAACAGGTGAGGGCCCGAGTATCCTGCGCAGATCTTATCAATCGCAGTATTTATTTAGACCATTATGTACCTTATTTCACCAATGGATAAAGTTGTAAATATTAATCGCATGCTGTCTAATCAATGTTGATCGAATTGAACGATTTAGAGCTTTGTTACGATTGTGTTGGGACTGAATGTTGAATTCGTGTCCGCTTGTTAGTTGTTGACCGAGATGGATCGTGCTGGATAGCGTTCGAAGGTTTGCACTTCATCTTTCATTGTTGCATACCTATCACACGTAGTATGTGTTCTTATTATTTACGACTATAATTAAAGTCATAAATTCTTATTTGAATTTTAAACACATGTGCAAGCAAAGACTTACGAATTTATTGAAGATGAATTAAAATTGTAGATGGACTGTTTAAAAAAGTATATATCGACATACAACGGTGTTGCCTCGATATTTTCTTAAAACTTAAATGTTCTTTACGACCACAATGATAATAAAAATCAATCGTAATAAAATGCATTTGTTTTATAGCAGGGTTTAATTAATTTTTCAATACAGGAACATATGACATAAAATTTCCATACGATATTAATCACAGAGCAAATTTAACGGGTGTCCAGTTGCCATCGTTAGGGTGCTTTATTTAGGGTAAAAGGCCCGGTAATTGGCTTCGCCGGATGCAGCGCACAGGTGCTCTGTGCGTGTGCCCTCTCGTGGTGGGGCACCGGAAATGAGGGCCAATTCGAATTTCTCCATAGCAAATCGATTAATTGGAAACCTATTCTAAGTTTACTTTGAATATGCCGAGATTTTTGTGCTTTAATTTTACTTTACATGAGAAACGTGTTGTTTTTGCGTATACGGGCGCCTTGTTTAAGTGATTTTTTCATTCAATCTTATCTCGACAGCGAAAACGATTTGTAACGTGAAAGGGTAATTAGAAATTTAACCTGTACGGAAATAAAGGAATTATTAGAAAACAATCCGGCGTGCACGAGGGTGCCGGCGGGCCCGAAGGAAGGGTGTCTAATTAGGGAGTGGGGGCGAAGGTAATGAGCCGCGATCGCCGCGCCGATATAACGAAGGCTATTTACGCGGTGGCCGTTCGAAAATTGCGAGGTTTTGTTTTAAAAGCGGTTACCGTTTGAGTTTTGCGATTAAGGAGTTTAATTAGACAGTGTTGTTTACAACCTCATTACGGTACGGTAATGTCAGAAAATAGCCTCGGATATCGGTCGATAATTTACCAACTTGAAAAATGAGTTTCTTGCCACTAACGGCCGTTTTCAATAACCTATCTATCCCTAGTTTCGGTTACTAAAGATAGACAAATCTATATTTTTGTCCTTACTTACGTTCCAATAACCTATCGACGGGCAGCAGTTCCTATCGGATTTATCTATCCATCGTCGGGAGGACGGATAGCCTGCTAAAGATAGAACGCTCATACAAATCGTGCTTACTTCCGTTTCAATATGAGTTTTAAGTAACTCTCCGGTAGGCGGCGCTATCTCTAGTATGGGCATTCGCTTATCTGTCAAAATCGGCCGGTTACATGTTTATCTTTCGAAAGTAAATCGCTATAATTTAATAATTGTTTCTCTTCATATTGGCATATTGTAGCAGTGATGATAGTGATATGGAATTATTTCAAATGATAATGGATTGTGATGCAGATAGTGATAGTGAGGCCGATATCATATGGTTAGGAAAATAAAGATCGTCTGAATTACATGGCGAAGATCAATAATTACGAATTTGACTATAGATTTCTGAGCAAAGGTGTTGTGAATGAATTGATTAATTTAATGAGACCATATTTGAGTGTAACGTCAAAAAGGTAAGATAAATTTTAACCATAAAAGTACTCGTTATTACAACTTATATTTGTTTATAGCAATAGCAAAATTATACCTAATTTTTGTTGTGTTACAAAATCACACTCAACAGGAATTCTATAATA